ATTACGGCAATTAAATTATTAATTATATTTCCTGTTTTCTTAATCTCAAGCAATTTCGTATATTCTTTTCATGGAAAAAAATGGCATATTTTAGCATTCCAGGCTAGTTTTTGAAAACAACCAAATTAAGGCTATCGTAAGCAAGGACACTAAGCATATAAATTATTTTAAAAGGATGCATTCAATGTGGATTAATATTATTTTTCAGACCTGAGTAATTAATCCATATTTTTTTTAAATTTTCATTGCCAAAATAGAAACAATCATACTCTAAGCAGTGTTTCTGTGATATACTTTCCAATGCATGCTTATAGATTATTTGATGAAGATGTAAAGCAATTGGATAAGCAGCATTTTAAGTATACACTTTAATTCTCGATCTGCACAATAGTAACTTTCCTTCGACTATTTTTATTTAAACCCCTTAACGATCAGATTATTTTGAAAAAAAAAACGGTCCTAAAAGTGCCTATTTTTTTTATTCAAGAAAATTATATAAAACTAAGTACATGTTCAATATATGTATTCATTTTTAATTTTTGGATTAATTTTTAGCTTGAAATACGAAATTTAGTTTTTTAAGAAAAGCAAACATTTAGGGTTATAATCACTGAATGTTGGCTTTCCAACAATGAGGCAAAATTTTAAAAAACATGTGTTTTAAACATTACATGAATTTTATTACACTCTTGCATAAAAAAATAAATATTAGTCATTTTTTTTTTGTGAGATAAGTTTCAAAACATGAGATGCAAATGCCAAAATCACAAACTGGACAGTAGTACCGAGTTTCCTTTCTGCATCTCTTATTGCTTTCATCAGTTTTGGAACAACAAACTTTGCATTCTCTTGATGGTTGCCACTTCTTTTCAGTTGGAGGTATCTGTCTAATAAAAAGTCTTTTAATCAAACGGTTGGGGTTATTCTCCAAATTCGGCCGGCCTCTTTTTGCAGTGGTTTCTGATCTAGCATACTTTTCAATAAGTTCATCTACTAAAGATAAACGAACATCAAATGTGATATTTTGCCTCCTTGTTTTTTATAAATAAGGTAATTTTGATCTAACAAATAAATAAAAAATATTTTCTTATGGTACTTCTTACCTCGTTTTCGAACAATTCAGTAATCTCCAATATATAGGTCTACAATGTCTACTGCTCCGACATTTTTATTGTAGTCAGTGACAAAAAAGTATTAAAAGTACAATTCGATTTACTTCCTGTCTAACTGTATAATGTATACGATATTAAAAAGTATATTTATTTTTTTATCAGTTTTTTTCCCAGAATTTTTACCCATGTGTTTTTACGAAGAGCGCAACTGAGTACTTGACCTAAGATTGAAAAACCGTATCGCTAATATATATGTTTGTTGTGCTAACATTTAATTAAAAAAATAATAATTTTCGCTAAACACGTTAAAAATAATCTGGTGCTGCCATCTGGTGTATAGATAAAGAAAAAAAACAATATTCCAGGTTTAAGAAATAGATTGTTTCACGCTTTTATGGTAAGTTACTTTTCAACACTCCAGCCCGGAAATATCACGGGCACGAGGAATAGAGAGGGAAATTTCACCCCGTGAATTTGACGGGAGCGAGAGGCAAGGGGTTAAATTTATTCCGTAAATAAACCGTAAAGGAAAGAAAAAAGGAAATTATATATAACGTCTAAAAACTACACGAAGTAGTACGATAGTAAATAATATATTTTTCCTAAATAAATTATTTCTATGTCAAAATTCCCACATACTAAGAAACTCTGCGATAAAACAGCAAGTTCAAAAGATAAGTAATGTTATGATCTATTGCATTCAACAAACCTGTTTCACCAATTCAACATTCACAAACATCAAAATAAATGAAGAATTTATTCTTATAAATTTAGCTACATCAGCGGTTCTTAAACTTTCGACCGCCACCCCCCACGCCTTTATGCATCAAGGTGACATCGCGGACCCCAAAGATTTTGAACATCCCTCTTTCCGACTTAATATTCTTGATCAAAATACAAGTTCTCGTGGAGATTCTTCAATGGGGACTATGTAGTAATCTAGTCTAGTGTGGCGCATCTTTCCATTTTTCCTCGAGGACTTTCAGAGTCTGTAAAAGAGGGAATTCTGCGGATCACAGAGTAAGAATCACTGGTCTAAATTACTTCTTGAATAAAGGGATTACCAACAATATGAAAATTTTAAGCCCAGTCTTAAAATTTTTATCATCAGTGCATATTCAGTGAATTATTCATCAGTGAAAAAAAAAATTTTCTGGCGATTAATTCTTTTCCATTTAGTACTTTTTAAAATATTATTTATTAATTTTTTTACGAAAGATTCAGATTTAAACTTGGTATTGACGTTCCTCTTTTGACTAAAATCTATTTGAACATTAAGGGACTGTGATTAGTAAGATGCTTATGAATTTTTGTAAGTGAGTGAATATTAGCGACTCACTGTTCAGCTACACGAGAGCTTTTGGCGAAGGACTTTGTAATTTTGAACCACGGTCAAGTGGCGAGGACGACACCTGAGCTGGCACCTCCCTCTCGTAACTACCACTCCACACCAGCGGGAGGACGTTTGAGATCTCAAAAGATGTAACGTGCATCGCTTCCCTACACGGCGGGTCTTCAGTGGTACTGGGATCGAACTCATGACACGCTAGCCATGATCTGATGCCTAGACCACTTAGCTACCGCGGCCACATATTTTCCCGGCAGAGAGGGTTCTAGAATTCTGTTTTGTGTTTAAAAATTCACGCGTATTTATATAAATATTAAAAAACTGTCTTAAATTATATAAGTAGCTTTGCATATGAGGGGAGGGGGTACATTTATCACATAGTGATGAAAGGACAAATTGTACGCGATGTAATTAAAAGGATGAAAAATGCTGCAGGTGAATTTAATCATATTTTTTTTTACAGTCTTAATTCCAAATTTCTGTATATTTGTTATCCATTTTTGTGACGCATATTAAACAATTCTATTGTATAATGTATCAATATTATGTTCATATCTGATGTTACAGATAAATAATATAAATGCTTGTTTTATTATTAAAAAAACGTAGATAGAAATGCATTCCGATAAGTAAATTGTGAATGGGAAATCAAAGTGTCATCTGATAGTAAAAATAATTCTATTTTCATTTTTCTCCTAAAATTCCGATACATTCTATCAGTTAAAGTAAGACATAGATTATAATTTTTTTAGCGTACTCATTTTTATTGTTATGGGGAAAAAAGATTTTAAAAAATATGCGCTTAACTTATCAGCAAATCACAGTCAAATAATCACTTGTGGTTTGATCTAAAAAAGTGAATAGATTTCATGATATATGAGATAATTCTGTAAGTGAAATTTTATATATGACTTGTTTGTGTATTTTTTTATTTTACAAAATTCGTTACAGATAGATCATACACTTTATGAAACACTCCACATTAGGAACTTAACCTCTATCTCTCTCTGCCTAGATCTTTACATTTACTTTCGAATTTTTCCGAAGTAATTCTATATCTTACCCTAAAAAAAGTCTTAATATTGGTATCATTTTGCTTCGAAGTAACTTTTATATTTTAAATACTCTTTTTATTCAGTGTTTTGAGAGATGTTTAATGTATTACAATTTTTGAGGCAAAATTTTAATGTATGTAATAATAATAGTGAGAAGATCTATGAATAGAAGATCAAAGAAAACCAGGATGCTCTTAATATTATTATTCAGTATTTTTAAAATAATATTGAATAAGGTATAAAGGGACTTGTGTAATTTTAGTTTCTTTTGCCTTTTTTTAAATGACATGAAACATGTAAATACAAATAAAAATGAGGAAATTTTATTTCTTCTAACATTTTTAATTTTCTATTCTGTATCCAAGTTCTTTTTTCGTCAAGAAACATTTTTTATTAACTCTTTCTCGTGGGCCTTGGAAAGATTACTTCCATCTCTACATGATCTTACAAAATACACCTGAAGGAAACGCAAAACCCATTATAATATATTGGCCTTGCTATTATAAGGATTGGAAGACTGATTCCCGCTTCAGTTTTGTGCTGCTGCACATAATACAGCGATTATGACATCTGTAAATCGGACAAAAAAATATGCTACTAAAGAAGTACCTTATCCAAAAGCTGTCACTGTATATAACGATACCATGGGAGGGGTTGATCGCTTCAATCAAAGAAAAGAAAGATATCAAATAAGAAGATCTGTACAATGGAAGTATTGTATCTTTTATTTTCTTATTGAAATCGCCATCGTAAATAGTTTCATACTGTGGTAAGTGAACAGAAGTTTAGACCAACTAACATTCCGTATAGCATTAGCTCGTCAGCTAATAGACGGGTATCCTCAAGAAAAAGGAAAGGACGTCCTGCTAGCTTCCAAAGAGAGAAGTGTGTAGTTACAGATGATGTGCGCATAAGCCAGTGTGGGAAAACATTTGCCAAAGATGGTTTCCAACTATAGACGATGCAGGAAGTGTAGCAGAGAAAGGGACAAGAAAAGAGGACCCGCTACAAGTGTGTGCAGAATGTGATGCCCCTTGAGCATTGTAACTTGCTTCTCATCTTTTCATGGCAAATAATCACCATTAAATTTAATTTCCTTATGATGGTGAATGGTTCCATGGGACTTTTTTTCCCACTCCCTAAAATTTAAATGTAAACATAAAATTGGGCAAAATAAAATAAATTTCCTTAAATGCTATTGTTCAATTGTTAATAAAACATAAAAAAAAACTACTGGAAATTCGAAAGAGAAATAAATGGCACACGAAAAGTTTTATTTTAGTTACTTTTTATTAAATAGTTAATATTAATACAAATATGACAGAATAATAATATTAAGTGACGAAATAGAAAGCGATTTTCCTTGCAGTTTTCCATTTTCCTTTCTATATATGGTGCAGGACTATTTTTGTTTGTTTGTTATTATTTATTCATAAATCTAATTATTCTAATAAAATAGTACAGTAAAAAACTCAGAAATTAGGCCATTCCAGGTGGGATAGAAACCCACGATCTTTGGATTAAATGTCCAATGAACTACCCATTGCGCTAAAGGAACATAACGAACGATTTCTTTCTATGTATGCTGTTGGACTATTATTTTTGTGTTTGTTACTATTTATTCATTTTTTAATTTAATTAATGAGTTAATATTTGAAAAAACTGTATTAACATCAACTGTCAAGTTTTAAAAAATGTATTTGAACGAATGGGTGAGTAGAAAGTATTTTATTGACGATTGAAAATTATTGAACAATATATATATATATATATAAAAATATATTATATTATATATATAATGACTTCTTCTAACTCTTCAACTTTACTCCATTAAATTATTTCCTAATTCTTTGGCACAAGACAGTTATAATCTTAATCTAATTGCTCGCGCGCATTTGCATCCAATCACGACTCCTGTTACAAAAGAGTCGTACGACCTTCACCGCCAGTATAAAAGCTCGGAGCAGTCGGTTGCTCTTGCTCTGTGGATGTTTGTAAACAATGTGTCCGCGGCCCTGCTAAATGTTGCTTCAGCTTTGTGCGTGTTTAAACTCCGTAAATTATGTTAATGTGATTGCACTTGATATATTGGTGATGTTCAATAAAAAAAAAGGTGAAACTTACAGTGAAGAAGTATTCTATCAAGACATAGCTACTCCTCGACCAATTCTACATGTAAAAACCAACACCGGCCACGCTACAAAAATCTTCGCCCAAATTCGTCATCATTTCATATATATAGGGAGAGAGTTAACTAATAGTAGAAATTGAAAAAAAGATTTGTTTCCAATAGTATAGTATGCTTCTTTCAATGATTAGTCTGTGCAAATGTTTTCAGATGTTTTAAAAATTTAAGAAAATTTTCTCAGACAGGAGGTACAATCCAATCTAATAGAAGCTTTCATTTATTTAATAGAAAAAAAAAAGTGCATTTTATTGCTCTCCAAAAAATGCAGTTTATATTAGGAAAAAAAAGAAAAGATGAATTTAAAATAGCTAATAGACAAGAGCTTTAAGCTCACAATATTAGTAAATATTTTTAAAAAGTCTTTCCGAACACGTCAAACTTTTAGTAAAAATGGTTTTCTTTATTTTTTAATTAAGTGCAACTTCCTTTACTTGTTTGATTCGTTTTTATAATCCTTTTTAATTTTTTTATATGTCAAAAATTATAAAAACTATACCTCACAATTCTGCATAAGACATTACAAAATTATTATTATTTATATCAGTCGCTGCTTTAAGAGACATATCGTAAAATAATTTCTGAAAATAGCATGCAAGAAAAGAAGAAACATTTTTTTAGATCATAAAACCAAATGACAGCTGGGGCATTTATCTAAAAGCAACGAACAAGAAAGCAAACAACACGTGGGAAATTTATGGATTTGTACCCGTACACATCGATACAGGAAAGATCGTGCTAAAAAGTCCTTTCCTTTTCTGCTTTGTCACAAGAAGCATTACAGCGTTAGTTGACGTTTGTTTTTAGTGTAACTGCATTTGGAATAGTAATATAGAAATTGTTATTTATGTGTAGCTCTCCCGCTCGCACCCGTCTTGAAACAATAAGAATGTTAAAAATTGTTCGGTTTATCCTTTCGAAAAAAGAATAATATTTTCTTCTAAGAATCTCGAATTTATATTAATTTTTTGTAAAATAAAAAAAAAGAGAGAACAGCTATTGGATATCATATTTTAATAAAATGTGCTACCGTAAAATCCGGCATATAACGCACACCCATACTTTCAAGAGGTGCATTATTTTTATTTTTTAGGTATATTCGCCGTATAACGCGTACTTATTATTTCCTGAAGAAACCTGAAATGTATGTGCGTAATGCTCTTCTGTTTCGAAGCCATTTTTTCGAGATATTACACGAAGCTTTAGAAAAAGCATTGTATATTTCTAGAACCACAACCCCTTAAGCTCACAAGGAAAATGTCATTTCTTTTAAATTAACAATATTTGGATAAATATAGGTCTAATTTTTTTTCTATGCTCATCTTTATTTATTTTTAAAGCTCTCATTGTTATACCCGGCGTATAACGCGCAACCATAAATTTCGATCTTATTTT